GTCTTGCCGCAGAGGGCACTGCCCACAGTGAAGAGGTGCCTGGTGAACGATGGCCAAGCGGCTTCTGGTGGCTATCACCCTCTGGGCCCTGGGAGGCCCTGCTGGACTTCATCATCTCTACCTGGGCCGGGATAACCATGCCCTATTGTGGATGCTGACTTTGGGGGGGTTTGGGATGGGGTGGCTCTGGGAGCTGTGGCTGCTGCCGGGTTGGGTGGCGCAGGCCAATCGCACCTTGGAACTGCCCAGAGATGGACCTCCACCTTTCAGCCCTGTGCGCTTCCTTGGCCAAGCCTCAGTAGGCATCTACTTTGGTTTGGTGGCCCTGATGGGCCTCTCAGCCCTCCCGGGTTTTTACTTCCTGGCTCTCCCCCTGGCGGTGGGACTCGGAGTTCACCTGGTGTCCGCAGTGGGTGACCAATCCTCCGATCTCCAAGCTACTTTAAAGGCGGCCTTCATAACTGCACCAATCTTCTATGGCCGCTCTCTGGCCATCTTCCCCATCACTCTCACGACTAGTGTCACAGCCCAGCGGCACCGGTGCTATAAATCCAGCAAGCGCACCAGGGAGAAGCTTGGTGCCCGACTGTACCGACTGGGCCTAGCCTACCTTGCTTTCACTACACCTTTGGCATACTCTGTCTTCTACAACACAGTGGCCACTGCCAGCTACGTAGCCGGCACTATTAGATCCACGCTGGATTGGCTCAGTGTGTTCCCATCCCTGAGCAGCGCGCTGGAATCGGTGCTCCTCCTGCCCTACCATGCTTGGAAGATGCTGGGCTTCAGCGGTGGCTCCTTCCAGGAGTGGGAGCAAGTTTTTGCCTTTGTGCACTCGGTCCAGAACGAGAGGCAGCGGATGGCATTGAAGGTACAGGGCAATACTCTTGAGCTCAGTTTTGTTTTTGTGACGGTATGTTGTTGTTGTTTAGTCGTTTAGTCGTGTCCGACTCTTCGTGACCCCATGGACCAGAGCACGCCAGGCACCTCTGTCCTCCACTACCTCCCGCAGTTTGGTCAAACTCATGCTGGTAACCTCGAAAACACTATCCAACCATCTCGTCCTCTGTCGCCCCCTTCTCCTTGTGCCCTCCATCTTTCCCAGCATCAGTGTCTTCTCCAGGGAGTCTTCTCTTCTCATGAGGTGGCCAAAGTACTGGAGTCTCAGCTTCAGGATCTGTCCTTCCAGTGAGCACTCAGGGCTGATTTCCTTAAGAATGGATGTGTTTGATCTTCTTGCAGTCCATGGGACTCTCAAGAGTCGCCTCCAGCACCATAATTCAAAAGCATCAATTCTTCGGCGATCAGCCTTCTTTATGGTCCAGCTCTCACTTCCATACATCACTACTGGGAAAACCATGGCTTTAACTATACGGACCTTTGTTGGCAAGGTGACGTCTCTGCTTCTCAAGATGCTATCTAGGCCTGTCATTGCCCTTCTCCCAAGAAGCAGGCGTCTTTTAATTTCGTGGCTGCTGTCACGGTATACTTTATAGCAACTGAGTTAGAGGAGTGGGATCTGGGCAACATCTGTTTTCGGGTGACGCTGTGACCATGGGGGTTAGGGTACTGTGGGCCCCGTTTCAGAAGTCTTTCCGGAATGTGGGCTTTTGCAGCAAAAGGTTTCTGATGGACTTTTACTGACATTTGGCACCGTTTTGGAATAAATACGGCAATGTCGAGATTTTTGTAATGCCATGATCCCGCGGTTTAGGATGCTGAGCTCCCCATTCCGGAAGTCTCCGTGGAACATGGGTTTTGGGCCACAAAAGGCTTCTGTGGAGCTTTTGGTGACATTTTGGAGTGAATTGGGAGTCAACATTTTTTTGGTGACCCCATTTAGGAAGTCTCTGTAGAATACAGATTTTGGGGCGCAAAAGGCTTCTGCTGATATTTGGCTCCATTTTGGAGTGAATCGGCGACGTTGCTATTTTGGTCATGCTCATATTTCTAGATTCATGGTTTTTGAATCTTCAGCCAATTCAAGGATAAGGCTAGAGTTGGACTTAGCTGGTAACTAAGGCTACTTTATCCATCTTTCAAGTGGAACTGGGAAACAGGAAGTTTGGGCTTTGGGAAGAGGAAATGTCTCTATTCCCATCTTTAACACCCTCCCTTCAAATGTCAAGGAGATAAAGAACTACATAACTTTTAGAAGACATCTGAAGGCAGCCCTGTATCAGGAAGTTTTTAATGTTTGTTATTTTGCTATGTTTTATATATGTTGTAAGGGGCGCGGGTGGCGCTGTGGGTTAAACCACAGAAACTAGGACTTGCCAATCAGAAGGTTGGCGGTTCGAATCCCCGCGACGGGGTGAGCTCCCGTTGCTCGGTCCCTGCTCCTGCCAACCTAGCAGTTCGAAAGCACGTCAAAGTGCAAGTAGATAAATAGGTACCGCTCCGGCGGGAAGGTAAATGGTGCTTCCGTGTGCTGCTCTGGTTCACCAGAAGCGGCTTATTCATGCTGGCCACATGACCCAGCAGCTGTTCGCCGGCTCCCTCGGCCAGTAAAGCAAGATGACCACCGCAACCCCAGTCAGCCATGACTGGACCTAATGGTCAGGGGTCCCTTTACCTTTATATATGCTGTAAGCTGCCCAGAGTGGCTAGGGAAACCCAACTAGATGGGCGGGGTATAAATAATAGAATTATTATTTTTATTAAAGCTGAGGAGACCTGGGTTTAAAACCTCACTTAGACTCACAGGCTGACCTTGGGTCAGTCATAACCTCTCAGCCTAACCTACCTCTCAGAGGATAAAATGGAGGTGAGGAGGAGCCACATTTGCTGCCTTGAGCTCTTTGGAGGAAAGGTGAGCTATAAATAATATAAGAGTCTTATATGCGTCTATTCAGAAACCCCATTACGTTCAATGGGATGCACTCCAGGTAAGCGTGCATAGGATTGCAGCCGAACAGCTCAAACCTAACTAAGTGTACTCAGAAGCAAGTTCAGTCCAGGATATTGCAACCCTCTCAACACGCTACAAACAAACAGAAGCCAAAAAAACTCATTAAAAAACTCTTTAAACTCATAGAAGCAAATTCAATACAAGTCCATAGGACTTACTCCTGGGTAAGTGGGGTTAAGACTGCAACCTAAGCCCTAATCGTAGAGCAGAGAATGCCAGCTTTAAGGCCAGTAAGCTGTAAAGAACAACAACAACACTAGAAACCATAGGAGAAAGACAGTCTCAAAGGTTGGATAGCTCAGTAGGTTAGAGTGTGGTGCTGATAACACCAAGGTTGCAGGTTCGATCCCCATATGGGACAGCTGCATTTTCCTGCATTGTAGGTGTTGCAGGAATTTATGTATAGGTTGGGGGGGTTGCCCCTCCAGCAGATATCATGCACATGCAGCCCACTACCAAAATCAGCACAATCCTTTTTGTGACTTTTGTGATTTGACCCCACAAAACACTTCATCACAGTTTCTTCCTATCTATTCAAAGGGCCTTTGCTGCACGATACCAAATGTAACAATTAACTGATAAATGTATCTGTGTACTGGCTCACTGGGAAAACTCCAGTGCCAGACAGGTAGCCATTCCAGAAATTCCAGCCATTCCAGAAATAACAAACCCAGATGAAGACAAAAGGGTGTGATTAACTTGGCTGGGAAACAGGGAAATGTAAATATCTTTTTTGTTACACTTGATGGGTGTTTGGTGGAGGGCAAGGAGAACCATGGGGCAGGGTCCAGGATGCTCAGATTACTACCACCAGACCTCCCCTTTCATGATGTAACCGTGATGTATGAGTGATGTAGTTTTTTTTGGGGGTGTAACATGGGGATTAGCAGCTAATAAAAGTTTGGGGGCTCTTTTGTTTGGGGCTTCCATCTTGTGGCAGGTGGAAGTCCTGTCATGAGAGTCTTCAATAAAGACCAAGCCTACTGGTGGCTGTTTTGCTCTGGTATTCCTAGCTGGTCTCCTTGTTTTTTGTCCAAGGGAGCCCTCAGATTTCTCTGTTAATATTGGGCCTTGGACTAGACGATCCTCAGGGTCCTTTCTATTGGTAAAACCTATTTGGTGTTTCGCAACTTTCCGACTAGTTGCAGGACCTTAGCCAGACCTAGCAGAGTAAATGCAGAATCCACAGAAGCAATTGGCAACTTGGCTGCAGACAGTATAGACGAAGCAGGAACCAGGAACTTGTGGTTTGGTGTTTATTATATACAGTGGACTATTTACAGGAACAGAACATGGATCTTTTGCTAGCTCTTTCTGACACGACTTAAAACTCCTACACTGACACACAGAACTCTGAACCTCTGAACTCCAAACTACCAGTTAGTAGGCCATTAATTATCACTCCTTTGAGAGAGCTTGACCAGTCAGGGAGAGGTCTCCATGTCTCTGTTATCACCAGGCAGACTTACTCCTTCAGATTGCCTTCTGGCTGTCTGCCAAACCTTAATTGACTCTGTGTGAGTAGCTGCACATACACAGTTTCCCAACACCTTCCAACTCTATGATTCTAAGAAGGTCATTCTGCATAGGACTCAGCTTATACAGATCTATAAAACTAGGCAGTCATTCTTGGCTTCCCCACCGACATCAGCCTCTACTGTGCCACTGGCTGTGAGGCCCACCAGAACATCTCCTCCACCTAACAGGCCTGAAACGTTTCCTCCTTTCCCTATTAGGTCTTAGGAATCCACGACGATGCCACACCTGAAGAAATCCACAAAAGCTACCGGGAGCTGGTGAAGCTTTGGCATCCAGATCACAATCGGCACCGGGCGGAAGAGGCGGAGAGACGTTTCATTGAGGTACAAGCTGCCTATGAGCTCCTCACACAGATGAGGAAGCCAAAGCCGACATGACGGACTCTGACTGCATCCATAAAACACTGACGTTTATGTTGCTGGGGGGAATAAAAGCATTACGCCTTGAAGCCATGGTTCTTCAAGGAAATTCCAGACATATGGCAACCCTAGAAAAGAAGAATGGCATATAATCATTAATCCCAAACCACAGAGACTCAAAATCTAAACTACAACTACAACTATCTTTATTACGGTCCAGAGACCCAACAAAATATTACAAATCAATACAGAGTTCATACAGCCTACCTCCAGGTTAATAAAGCACTTTGTTTGGAATATAGGGCTCATTTGTTCTTGCAACCACCGATAAAAACTTTGCCACTGCCAACGTTCTAGCTTTTGTCCGGTCTTCCAGTAGGAACCTGACATAGTGAGCCTCTGACTTTCCTGGGAAAGGTACCAGCAAGGGTAGTATCAGTTCAGCCCTGGCCTGCTCATACTTCACACAATGTAACAAAATATGATCTATGGAATCGATGTCTTGAGCACACGAGCAAAGTCTGTCCTGGTAGGGAACTCCTCTCAACCTACCATCCAGCACTGCAGAGGGGAAGACATTCAGTCTGGCTTTGGTGAAAAGCCTTCGATAGTTAGGTACTGTCAGGTTTTTGATGTAAGATGTTAACTCAAAGACATACCCATATTGAATTCCTGCTGCCAGCGGACTACAGACTGTGTGTGACCGAGATTGCAAGTCACTGTGTGCATTGTCCCATAATCTTTGCTTTAAAACCTTTTGGGCACCTGGAACGCGAGATGATGGTTGCATCATCAGCATACAACAACAAAGGGGTCCTTATTCCTATTTTTGGAATGTGTCCATCTGGGTCCATTAAGTTCTCTTCTAGGTCATTTAAGAATAGCCAAACAATGTGGGGGCCAAAATACAACCCTGTCTCACCCCCCTAGTCATCTCTATGCTGTTCGATAGCTGTCCCTGTCGACCGCATCGGACCTAAACTAAAGAAAATATGTACTGAGCACTGTCTCACATTATCACCAAATTTTTCGTTCCAGAAGGAAATAAAATCGGACATTTTTTTCCGTATACGTTTTTCTCTTGCTTGTACATAATAAGTTAGCTTATTATTTACTGCTTTATCCCAAATACTAAAGAACTAGTCTGACCAGGGGAGATGGCGAGGCATCTTTTCCCCACAATACATTGAAATTGGCATTTTTGATGCTACCAAAATACCAATAGTACCCATTTCTGCATCTACATTCTCAATAGTTTTCCAAGTAGTTGAAGAGTACATTTATTGGGTTTCTTAGAATTTTGTGAGTTTGCTGGTGGGATCAACTGATAGGTTCAGATGGATCCCCCCCCCCCCACACACATTGCATTTTTAATATAATTTACCAGTGAGTGCTGAATGGCAATATCTTCAATTACAATACTTGTTGGTGTGTATTTATGGACCATCTACATTGAGCAACTTCTAAATTGTTGGAGGGAATTATTGGATCTCCCCAGAAATCTATAACTGCTGCTTATAAATGCTTCTTGGACCTTTGTAAATTAGATTGGCAGGAACGTAGAGAGTTGTGGAATAGGGGTCATGCTATATAATCTAAATAATGGGAAATTGCTCTAGAATCTATATGGAACATTTCTCTAGATTTGAGGTTGATCCAGGAAAAAATTATGTTTGGGGTATATTGGACTCTGCAACCTCAGCACAGGAAGGCCCTGTTTAAGACATATAGATGCTGGAGGCGAAATGTTGAAAACACCTTGTTGTGGAATATGATGATGAGCACATCCATGATGTATTTGTTTTGGTCTGACATAGCTGTCAATATAAATTTTGTATTGCTAATAATAATAATAATAATAATAATAATAATAATTTATTATTTATACCTCGCCCATCTGGCTGAGTTTCCCCAGCCACTCTGGGCAGCTCCCAATCAAGTGTTAAAAACAATACAGCGTTAAATATTAAAAACCTCCCTGAACAGGGCTGCCTTCAGATGTCTTTTAAAGATAGGATAGCTGCTTATTTCCTTCACATCTGAAGGGAGGGTGTTCCACAGGGTGGGCGCCACTACCGAGAAGGCCCTCTGCCTGGTTCCCTGTAACCTCACTTCTCGCAATGAGGGAACCGCCAGAAGGCCCTCGGTGCTGGATCTCAGTGTCCGGGCTGAACGATGGGGGTGGAGACGCTCCTTCAGGTATACAGGACCGAGGCCGTTTAGGGCTTTAAAGGTCAGCACCAACACTTTGAATTGTGCTCGGAAACGTACTGGGAGCCAATGAAGATCTCTCAGAACCAGTGTTATGTGGTCCCGGCGGCCACTCCCAGTCACCAGTCTAGCTGCCGCATTCTGGATTAATTTCAGTTTCCGGGTCACCTTCAAAGGTAGCCCCACGTAGAGTGCGTTGCAGTAGTCCAAGCGGGAGATAACTAGAGCATGCACCACTTTGGCGAGGCAGTCTGCGGGCAGGTAGGGTCTTAGCCAAAATAAGTTTGATATTTGCAGTGCCCATGTACTTTAAAAATATATTCCTATAAGTATAGCAGTTAACAAGAGGTCAAAAGTACATCTTATGTAAGCCCTTATGGTTGCCATAAACCTCGAAGGATATGTTATACCTCACCACCATGGCAACATTTTTATAGTGTCATATTTGGACACTTGGATTGACTTGGATTGACTTGTATGTTTTATTATAGATTGGAAATATCGGTGGCCATTATATTCTCAGTGCAACCTGACATTGTTTACTGTCATTATTAACCTTTCTCTGTCCTTTTTCATGTTAAAATTGACACTTAAAAAATAATAATGAAAAAGACATCTGGAAGTTTTGGATGTTACCATATTTTTCCGTCTATAAGAAGCCCCCACGTATAAGACACCCCCTATTTTGGGGGACTCAGATTTAAGAAAATGGGGTCAGACACTATCCGCGTATAAGACGTGCCCTAATTTTTGACATGATTTTTTAGGGGAAAAACATAGTCTTATACACAGAAAAATATGGTACAACATTTCCAAAAGATTTATAGTCAGTCTGCATTTTATTAAAAAGTCATGCAAGTTACAATATCTACAACAGAAGGAAAAATCAGGATGAGGTGAGCCAAGACCTTTAACAATTTTCAAGTGGTCTATGTGGGACCCTAGATTGTGAATTGCGGTGTTGTTCCTCATGCACAACTGCCTTTCCTGGGAGATGCAGATAGAGGTTTGTTGGTTTGAAAAGTCTGCAAACCTAGCTGAACCCAGCAGGTGCCGTCATTGAGCTGCTGAAAAGTAGGAATGAATGGGGCTCCTGTTTTTTTTCTTAAAAAAGAAAATTCCCTGGGAAAAGAAAAATGATCCTATGGTTTTGCACAAAGAAAATATGTGTGGGGTTTGTCTATATTTCAGAAGAAGCAACAGCGCGATAACAGGCTGCGGACACGAATGAAAATAGACTTTGTGCTCAAATCCACAATGGGCCATGCTGGTAACATTGGGGTCCGAAGGAGGAGAATTTCAAATTCTTATTCTGAATTCGAATAATGGCTCACCAAAGCTCAGTCATGGAACTTGTTTGCAATGCCCCAGCTTCGCTTTGGGAATCTGAAGAGATCTGCTCAAGAATGACTCTGAGTATCATGCGCAGAGGGTCATAACGAGATAACTAAAGAACCAATACATAACCTATCCTATCAGTTTGTAGGTTTTGCGGGGAGAGGCGCTGAACAGGACTTTTCAAAGAGGGTGACTCTAGCAGCAAGTGGAGCATGTTGCCCTTTAGTTGCTGATAAATTGCTAAGAGTTTTGGTTGCTGAACAGAAAATAATAATAATAATAATAATAATAATAATAATAATAATAATAATAATTCTATTGTTTATACCCCGCCCATCTGGCTGGGTTTTCCCCGCCGTTCTGGGCAGCTTCCAGCAAAATATATAAAATAAAAAAATGTCAGACGTTAAAAACTTCCCTTCAGATGTTTCCTAAAAGTTGTGTCATTCTTTCTCTCCCTGACATCTACAGGGAGGGTGCCACTACCGAGAAGGCCTGGTTCCCTGTAACCTCGCTTCTTGCAGTGAGGGAACCGCCAGAAGGTCCTTGGAAGTGGATCTCAGTGTCCGGGCTGAATTGCCACTTTTCTCCTATAGGAGAGCTCCCAAGGTGGCGTGTGTACGTTTATTTATTTATTTATTACATTTTTATTAAATTTTCTGTTTTAGAATCTAAGAGTATTCATTTAAACAACCTTAAAACATCAATGACTTCCCTTTCTTCTCTTTCCATGGTTCATTTTGCATAACATAAATCCCATCATATTTTATATAAACCAAACCATTCAGTATTCCATTATTACTTCCATCAAAATTCCATTATTACTTCCATCAAAATGTTTAAGCCCGACAGGCAGAAATTCCAACTTTTTAGCATAGAAACGCAGAATCGGTGATGGAAGCGTCACCTGTTGGATTTCTATCTGTCACGCAGCTATTTAACAGGGATCCTGCCGCGAGACGGCAAACCCGCGTCTCCATTCGCGCAGGCGGAGGGAGGAAAAGAAAGGGTTAAAAGAGAGACAGGCTTGTTTCCTAGGCGTTGCGGTATTGGGCAACCCGCGGCATCTCCGCCACGTTCCACGCGCCCGGATTGGCTTTTTGAGCCCCGCGGCTTCCCCGATTGGCCCAAGAGCCGTCTCGGTTCGGGCGAAGAGCAGCCTTACCCCCTTTTCACCTGATTGGCCGCCCCTTAACGAAGAAGCCCGATTGGGCGGGAGGAGGGGAGGCGGAGCTTCAGTGGCTCCGTTGTTCTCCGAACTCCGTCGCGCGCGAGCGTGGAGAGGCGGGCGGAGTGGGAGAGAGAGAGAGAGAGAGAGAGAGACGGGAGGGCCCCGCCTTTGCCTCGCTCCCATTGGCCAGCGTCCGCGCTTAAGCATTGGCTGAAGGGAGGAGAGGCTCCCGCGGCCCCATTGGCTGCTGGGGCTCGCGCACCGTTCGCTGCTCGCTCCCGTTCTCTGTCTCTTCGCTGGTGGGCGGGGCTCGCTTTCCCGGTGTTTGGCGGCGGCGGCGGCCTGAGGTAAAGGGGGCGGGGGGGGGCGGCGGTTGTGGAGACAGCGGCTGGGTCGTCGTCAGGGTAGGACGGGGCTCCCGGGCGCTGCCGCTTAATGGGGTCGATGGAGGGAAAGGGGAGGCAGGGCTGA